TGTGGAAGCTGAAGGGGCGTTCCTTGCCATGCAGCTCCACCTGGCCAGAAAGGGCTCCCACCTCAAGAAAAGGAAAAGAAAACAAATAAACAATTCAAAATGAACAAATGAACCAAAGCCTCGGGATCTCACTAGCGTGGTAGCCCAGACCGGGAAGCAGCTCCACACTCAAATGGAGCTCCGCAGCCCCTCAGGAAAAAGAAAGATGGCGCACGGAGCCAGGCACTCAAGCGAAAGGTGGGGGAGGCGGCGAGAGGCAAGCAACAAATCCAAAGAAGCAGGAAAAAATAAAAAGCAACACCAGCAGCCAACAAATGGCACTCAGAGAGCCAGCCAGTGTGGGCTGGTATTTCTGGACAAGAGACTGTGTCCGCGGGAAGCAGAGGAGGCCGAGTGTGGGTGAAGAAGTGTAGAGAGTGGGAAGGCATATATCACAAATTGCCAGTGCTCTGGAGCCCCTATGGAAGAAGCAAAGATGGTACACGGAGCCAGGCACTTGGTCGAAAGGAGGGGGAGGTGGTGAGAGGCAAGTGAGAAATCAAAAGAAGCAGGAAAAAAAAAAGCAACTCTAGCAGCCAACAAATGGCACCCAGAGAGCCGCCCACTTGGGTGTGTGGAATCCAAGCAGCCAGCACTTCTCAGTCAAGAGACCGTGGCTGCGGGAAACAGAGGAGGCCAATCCGTGGCGAAGAGGGGTGGGTGGTGGGAAAGTGCACACTGCAAATTACCGGTTGTTTGCTTTCCCACTGGATGCTCAGTGAGGCTGCTTTCTCGTACCCCCATTTGCTGGTCTCCGATAGGAGTCCAAGATGGTGGATCCGCACTGCGTTAGCTGGTAGGGGACCTCTGCATGAATCTCTCCTCACTCTCCGTTCTCTGTCAGTTTTCTCACTCCATTTGGTGCTTGGCTGAGTTCTTTGTCTCTTCATTTGATGTTTTAGGGTTTCAGGATTGTTGTATTCTCTGTTTGTCTTAGTTTTTCAAATCTTTGTTGGGGAGGGATGGCGTGGTGCTTCTTCCTAGACTGCCATTTTGCTTCAGATATTTATGCCCTATGAGAAGGAAATTCCATTTTGAGGCATATGCCCTGAAGAAATGTGTGCTTTGATGCACCAAGGTACATGGATGAGAATTTTTCAAAGCGGCTTTGCTTATATTTGCCAAAAATAAGAATAAATGCAAGTGTTCATTAATAGTAGATTTGATAAATTGTGAAATTTTCACATAGTAAAATTCTGTGCAGAAATTAAAATCAATAAAATAGAGATGCACACAACAAAATAGATGCCTTTATAATTCTGAGTGAAAATGCTAGACAGAAAAGAATGTATACAATAGATGTTTCCATTTATATAAAATTCTGTATCAAGCAAGCACACTTTTTTCTATGTTATAATAAAATTTTAAGTATGTATTTATTATACATATAATGTCACAGTTTAATTTATATACATAAAAAAATGATATCCACCTATTACCAGGCACAGTACCAGGCACTGAATATTTGATCAATTAATATTTGCTGAACAAATGGGTGAAATTTTAAAATTAATAAAAGAAAGTTTTAATTCTATCAAAGTTCATGTTAATGCGGAAGAAGGGGTATATCCTGTTCCAATTTATACCTCCAGTTCAGGCCTCTCTTCTAAATTACAAACTCTTAAATTTCTTCTTGTATGTCTCAAAAGAACTTCAAACCCATTATTTCTAAAATAACTCATGGTCTTCCCCTCCCCGCCCCCACCTATACTCCAATCCCAGCAAACCCCACTCTAGAGAAGGAGCCACCACATATCCAGTTGTGTAATTCAGGAACGTTGGAGTCATCCTTGGCATTACCCTGTACCTCAACCCTAACAGTCAGTCCATTACCAAGAGGAGTTCTGGTGGTGCAGTGATTAAGAGCTCCACTGCTAACCAAAAGACTGGCATTTCGAATCCACCAGCTTCTCCTTAGAAACCCAGTGGGGTAGTTCTACTCTGTCCTATCAGGTCACTATGAGTTGGAATAGACTCAATGGCAACAATTTGGTTTTATTTATTTATTTATTTTGGTCCTTTTTAAAACCTACAAATTCCCAATTCTATCTCCCCCTGTCATGGTGTTAGACCAAGCCACCATCAGAACTCCTGAAATTGCTTCCTAACTGGTTTTGTATCTAGTCTTGCCTCTCTCCAAACTTGACTATACTGAAACCAGAGTGATTTTTTTTTTTTTAAAAAAGCAAATTTGATCATGTTATCTGCTGGCAAAATCTTCCAAATCATTCCATTATGTGCAGGATAAACACAAAAGACACTTAGAGGGCCCTTCCTAACTGATCTTATACACACATCTTCTACCTCAAATTTATCATTTTTTGTGGCATTCTTTAATCAATGTAGCCCTTCCACTTACAGTACTGAGAGCAAGGCTCAATCTTAAATTGTTTAGCACTGTTAATATAGCACTAATACCCGGAAGAGTATCTCATCTAGTAGATTCTGAATTAATGTTTGTTTAATAAATACATAATGAAAAGATTTAAAAAAATGAAAACATCAGTTCTGGCAAGGTCACTTACAAATATAACATAAACTTACAAATACAGCATAGATTTATTATTATATACTAATGAGATTTCTTTTGCAACACCAATAATTAAGAATCTTAAATGGTTAGTATAAGCATAAATATTCGAGGGGAAGAAACTTTGATGAAGACTTGACACAGTCAACTATGGAAAAATATTTTTTATCAGTCAGAGCTTTTGGTTGCAAACAATAGAAACTGAGTTTAACCTAAGCAGAAAATGAAGTGATTCTCTGGTGACGTGAAGCTATGATGGAAAGTCTAGGGAACATGGTGTAGAAAATGTATAGGAAACCAGCTGGCAGAAACCCAGTCCAGGACAAATCAGGGAAAGAAACCACCACAGATGGACAGTGGATAGTCCTACTGGCTCCATCACCACTGGACACCAGTCACAGGACATTGGATATTGGAGGCCTCTGCTGCTGCCATTCTGTTTGCAAACATTTTTGTCTCTGTGAAAGGAACATTTGTACAATTTCCAGATGAATAATTTCAATAAGTGCTCTTCAAGAATATATTCCCATTCCTAGAATCTGTAACCAACCAAAATTAACCCAGTGCTGTTGAATTGATTCCAACTCATGGCAACTACATGTGTTACAGAGCAGAAGTGTGTTCCATAGTGTTTTCTGGGCCGTAATCTTCATGGAAGCAGATTGCTAGGCCTTTCTTCTGCAGCACCACTGGATGGGTTCCAACACTCAGCCTATAGGTTAGTAGCCGAGTGCAAAATGTTTGCACCACCCAGGGACCTTCAGCAACTATAACACGAAAACTAAAATATAACTATTTCCATCAGAGGGTCCACGAAAATAGTATTTGCCATATTCAAATAGTACTACCGTATTCAAATGTAAGAAAAGTGTCGATTACAAGATTTTTAACCACAACCCTGTGCTCTAAGAATTTCACTGTTATACTCCATGGTTCTTTGCATAAATGTCACCTCACCCACACCCCACCCTGAGCTCAGCCTTGCTGGCCTGAGCCTCATAAAAAGCTATGATAGATAGAAACTGTTGAATGGGTGTATGTTTTGTTGTGTTTATCATCGATAACAACAAAATAAAAAATTGAAAAAATAAAGCTATGAAGGACATTTCCTGGGGGATGGAGTCTGTGCAACAACATACAAAAGAGGAGCTACAGGATACGGGCACCATCCAGATGCTAACCTCCTGCTCTACTATGTTCCAGGTGAGATGGAACCTAGAGATGGCATTTTCTCTCCAGAGTGATCCTCCTATTGAGACATATCTACAGGTTCAAATGAGTTCTGAAATAAACACTACAAGCCACGCAGCCCTGTCCACTTGTTCCAGTTAGAGACCATTTTGGTTTGATTTTCCTTCTATCCCTGATTGCACAGCATCTCTGGATCATCCTCATGTGCCTGTCATTTTAGCTTTCAGCAGGTAGAACCTTCTCAGTAGGTGCTAGATTCTCTGGCTGACTCCCAGGAGAGAAAGCCTCCATTAGAAGCAGGGCCAATCACACTCTCGTCTTCACTGACTGGAAAATCTACTTGACCTGGAATCAGCATAAACCTGACCAGAAACCTATGGGTCTCATTTACCATACTTCCTCTATGCGTGTTGTGATGCTGAACATGTTTCAGCAGCACTTTCAGACTAATAAAGAACAGAAAGAAAGGCCTGGTAATCTACAAAAATCAGCCAGTGAAAACCCTAAGGATCACAACAGTCAGATCACATTGTGCATGGGGTTGTCATGAGTCAGGGGCCCACAAGATGGCAGCTAACAATAAGAAAGAACCATTATTGCCTTCAGTTACTAAATTAAACTTGGGTGCCCAAGGGATAAATTTAAAGAGGAAATCCACAACTAACAAAAAAGAACATGGGAAAGCTGTCACATATTTCTAGAGGGATAGTGTTAATGAATTAGAGACTGGCCTTTGTGAGAATGAGAACCACTGAAAGAAATGGAGAGAGGAGAAAAGGGCAGTAAAATGGGAGGCAGAGCAGGAAACTCCTTAGGCTTGGCTGGAAAACAGGATCCACAGAAGGAAAACGTAAGAGAGGAATACTGCCTTCTGTGAGGGAGATTTAAAATATGGAGGTCTAGGTTTAATACTGGGTTAGGTTCAGAGTTGTGAGGGTTACTGCAGAGAAAGGAAAAAGTCCAAGAAAACAAGGAATTAAAATGTGAATATTCCAAAGTTAAGAAGTCACAGGGAAGAGAGAACTGATCTTTCAGGGTGTATAACACAGGGGAACCTTCCCCAAATCATTTATGTGATCTATCCACATGAAACATGCAGGAACCTGTAATATCAAAATTCCTGACAAAGATTATATTACATTTGTACAAAATTTTTCTTCTACACTTTACCACAAAATAGGCTTCAGAAGAAGCCACATCCCTTAATTTACTCCTGGGTCTTACAAATTCTCCTAGGAATTAGTAAATAGATGCAGACTTTGGGACAGACAGAGAAGTGTACATGCTCAGGGTTCAGCAAAAAGGAAGCAGCTGTTGTAGTAAGACTCACCGGCCTGTAGCCCTGGGGAGGAGGTTTTTGTTTGAGGCTGAAGCACTGTGGGAGGATTGCTATAATCCTGCTGACAATAATAAACAGCGGCGTCTTCAGCCTGGAGGCTGCTGATGGTGAGAGTGAAGTCTGTCCCAGACCCACTGCCACTGAACCGGTCAGGGACCCCAGATGCCCGGTTAGTTGCTTTGTAGATGAGCAGCTTAGGAGCCTGTCCTGGTTTCTGCTGATACCAGTGTAAATAGCTGCTCACACTCTGACTGGACTTGCAGTTGATGGTGACCCTTTCTGCTGGAGACACAGCCAGAGAGTCTGGAGACTGGGTCAGCACAATGTCCCCACTGGCACCTGCAATCAGAGTAGACAATTACCATTCATACATATATACACACGCTTTTTCATAGGCCAGTTCAATGATACCATTTATACAGCAGCATAGAGTAATATCTGTACATAATTGGTTCCATTTTGGAAATAACCATTATTTCCAACTATGTTTTAAAATCATTTTTTTCAGCTCTACAAAGATACTACTCTAGAAGGATTGAAGCACTTTTAGTTTCTCACCAGAGGCCCAGAGCAACAGGGACATGAGGAACAGAGTCTGTGGCACCATCTTGCTTCCCCTGCCTGCCTGATGCTGATCAGCCCACATTGCAAAGGTCCTGTTTATAAAATCTGATGAGCATCCTGGGCCTGGAGGGTCTATGCAAAGCAATCAGTGAACTGAAAGCAAATTACATGGACGGTTGGTTGTGAAACAAACCAATATACATGAAGAGCCAAAAATATCACAGAAAGTATAATTTTATGACTAGAAAAGTCACAAAAGTGACTTAGAACCTCTAATATCAACTTTTAAAAAAAGGACTTTTGTAGTCCAGTTGATTCCAATTCATGAAGAACCCATGTATTACAGTGTAGAATTGCTCCATAGGGTTTTCTTGCCTGTATTCATCACAGAAGCAGATCACGAGGCTTTTCTTCCATGGTACCACTGAGTATGTTCAAACTGCCAACCTTTAGATTAGCAACTGATCACAAACAGCTTGATGTACCCATAATCTAATGAATAGCTTCTGTTTTTGCTCAAAAACTGTTTTAAATGGGTTCAGGTTCTGTAAATTATGTACTGGTTTCCTCAAATCAACAGTTTTGTGAAATAATTAAAAAATTCTGGAAAAAAATAACAAAAGAAATGGAAAAATATGTGAAATTTTTCTTTCAGTTTTTGATAAAAATTTATAGCTAGATAACACCTGAGCTCTAAAGAATCTTTTATCTTGAAGGATACTTTAAAGACACTGCAAACACATGAGATTGCATTCCAGGGCTATGTAAGGGCCAGAGAAATAGAAGACAGGCCCACAGTTTACAAGTGTGGAAAGTCCTCAGGAACCCAGTGTTGAGCTAGGGCTCAGAGGACTCTAATTTCAAAGGAAGTGTGAACCAAAGAGAAAGTGGAACCTGTCATGCCCACAACTTCTAGGAACTGATAAGTGGGCTCTAGGTTCATTGTGGAAAGGGACAGGAAAAAACAAACAGGATTTCCTTGTGAACTTGTGATTGA